TTTTAAGCCCTATTTTGCTAGAATCCATGTATTATTGACAAAGTTTTGGGGGGTACCCACGAAGGACGTTGGAGTATACCCATTCCGCCAGCCTACCTGTAGGTCAGCAACCTAGTTGCGCACTAAAACTAGTAAATGCGCTATTAGCTCTGTGCCTTTAGTAAGCTAATTAAGAGCATTAACTATAGACATTAGCAAGCTATTAGTGTGTCTCTAAATCCTCTCTTAAATTAGCTTTAATTAAGACCTAAATTCTAGGGTGTTGCTTAGTATTTTAGACTCCCACATACTGTTGTCTATAGTAGGTGGTGTTAGTGTGTGTAGCTGTACTTTAAGCTTTAATAGCACAGCCTCTAGGTTAAGTAGAACTAGGCCAGCACCTCTAAATCCTCCCTAGATATTGCTCTCTGTAATTGAGGCGTCAAAAGCTACTTTGAAGCACAGCAAGAATTCAAGTTTAGTGATGCGAGTAATCTTGCTGCGCATCAGCCGCTTGGCTTGGCGGCCATAGGCCTTCTTTAACAGGGCAAAACAGCCTATGTCAAGTAGCTGCAGTAGGTGCAACAAGTGTGGAGGCATACACAGGGTAATAATCTTGTGTTCCTTGCAGTACTAGTAGAATTTAACTAAGTTGTGGCTCTTATAGCTGTCTAGAATAAGCAGCTAATAGCTGCTAACAGTGCGCGCCTTTGTGTGCTTGTTAAAGTGCTTTAACTACTTAACTCTAAGCTTATTATTAGTCTAGCTGTTGTTAGAGACATTAAGAACCTAGTTATTAGGTATACTAGGCTCCTTATACTAGGCAGAGAGGTGGTGCTTGCTAGAGAAGATAATAAAGGGTAGGATAGACCAGCCCTTCGCGCAGATGCCTTAGATAATACTAGTCTACTCTTAGTCGCCCTGCTGCACTATCTTTAGTCTCCCTTAACGCTTAGAGCCTATAAGAACAGCTCCTATTAATATAACACCTATTATAAAGCTAGACTTATTAAAGTTGTAGGTGTCTTTATTATATATACTATACTTAGCTTTAGTATTCTCTACTAGTTAGAACTAGTCCCTAATTACCTTAGGATCCTTATATAGAGCTCTCTTATAGTTATACTTATAATTAAATTTAACTTTAAGCTCTAGCTAACGTTTTACAAAGTTGGCAGCCTAGTTCTTGCCAACATAGGGCTAGTGGCGCTCAGTAAGCAGAGAATTGGCCATATCCTCTACATCAGCAAGCTGGGGTGGGTATCCTTGCTTGTCTAGCTTCAATACATGCTAGACAATCACCTCCTCCTTAGTACTAGTTATCCTTATCATGTTAGGCTTGCAATCACGTTGTGAAGAGGTTCTAGTAAGGCGCGTGCCTAGGGTGCTTTAAGAGACCTAGTATATTGCTGCAGC